TAAGTGGCCTTTAGCCTCTGTGCCAATTTGCACTATACAGGGGTACAGAAGAAATTCAACTTCATACAAAAGCACCCCCTCCTAAAAAATATGGGGAGAATAAGAATTTGAGACAAATGAAGATGTTAATGGTAATAATTACCATTTATGGCAGCCACTATTTATCATCCCAGCTTCACAGTTATTGAAAACCACCAGCTAGTGGAAGTACCGGGCTTCAAACCAATGTCTGTGTAACTCTAAAGTAACTGTCCTTAACCACTCTGCCATCCTGTATTTGGGGAACTTCCTTAAGTTTTTGTTCTTGGAATAACTAAAAGCTCTCTGTAACCCAAAGAATGAGACTCCTCTTGAAGGCCAAGTTCCAAACCAGTTTTCCCAGTTAGGGGTGCTGCAGCCTACACTTCCAATGTTGCTCCACTCCGGACCTCTCAGATGCTGTCAGAAGTTCCTAACGTGGTCACTCAATTCTAGCTCCATCATTTACACAGGAGGGTCTTTTGGCTAGAGAAAAAAGGGCCTTTCTGAGGTCACACTGTCAGTTAACGGCAATAGAAATCCGACATTCTTCTAGGTCTACATATCCACAGGGGGTTCCCTAGGACTGTGATCTAGAAACGCGGGCAGGGGTGATGGATGTTTTTCCGTGTTGAGAACACTAAGTTACCAGGAACGCCTCCTGCTCTGAACACGGTCCTTTCAGCACCATGGTCAGGGGCGCGCGGCTGCTTTCAGGATGCGGTGCCCAACCCGGTTAGCCGGGCAGGCACCCCCAGCGTCAGCCTTGGCCCTCACATCCCAGAAGCAGAGAAGAGCAGCCTGGGCCCTCAACAGAGAATGGAGGGTACGGCGGAAGGGTTGGCCAAAGGCAAGGGTGCAAGGGAGCCTTTGGACTTACAAGACCCAGAAGACCCAGCTACTGCCAAAGCAAGAACAACTACAAACTATCTCAGCACAGAGCAAAGAGCTCTAAATTGCAAAGAACCTAGAGCCAGGTCACAGTCCTAGCTTGCTTCAATAATTCACTGAGTGATTGGAGGCCTGAGGAAGTTGCCAATTCTAAGACTTTGTCTCTGTTTCCATGGGCGTGAACATCCTGCCTTGCCCTCCTCACCAGCTGTAGGAAGGGACCTAAGATAAGAGGTGTCCAGCCTCAAGGTGTCCCACTGTCTGTGTTCTTGGCCTTTTGAAAGTAGAACTGGCAGGTACAGTTAGTGAGTGCCCCCTTCCTTTTCTTGAGCACAGCCTGCAGGTATTTAAAAAGGATAGGGAGGGGGGAACCAAACACAACAGAGAATATTAATTATGTAAATGTAAAAATGTAATTGTAATATACTCAGTGCTTATTCTGCATCACATTCTCAGCTGAATCCCCTTACACTGTCCCCACACTGTCCCCACTGCCTTCCAAGGCCTAAGGGTCTTACCCACCACTTCAGGTCATGGGCAGGCCTAAGCCTTCTCTTAGGCACCAAGAAATCCAGTGAAAGGGTATTAAGGACTCTTTCCATATTTTCCAGCGAATTAGCTGAGGCTTAAGGACTTGTCCAAGGTCACACAGTCAGGCAGACTGGCCTTTGGGGGAGAGGAGAGGCTGAGGGCGCCTGTGGGGTCGTGCGCCCCCAGCCCCGCCTGCCTTTGTGCCAGCCCAGCAGCCAGGCTCCCAGACATTAGCATTCCAATGGCCCTGGGACGCTTTGTCTCCCGACCAAGGCCGGCTTGGGGGATGGAGTGGGATGGGGGCAGGGCACCATAAATCTACCTGCTTGTGTGTGTGTGGATGGGGGTGGGGTGGTGGCGCAAGATTCATGTGCTGTTTTTCTGGAAGTCGGGCTTAGGCTCAGACAAAGACAGAAGAGGGGGAAGAGTCTTTCGACCCGAAGGTCTTTCCTGGCGCTGATGGGAACCCCGTCCGAATTTCGGGGAGCCAGGGCACAAGCGACCACTTCAGACTGTGGGAGGCTCCACACCACTGCGAGCTGAAGCGCAGTCTGCAGTGGATCGTAAGCTGCCAGCTGAGACTGAGACCAGCTTGACTGATTTTAAAGCCTCTGAAAGCAAAATTCCTGTGGGGGTTGGGGGGCGTGGTGATGGTGAGGCGGGGCTAGTTAGCTGTCGGCACCACTCATAGAAATGTTTCGGAGCCCTTCTTGATGAGTGGCTCTCTGGAAAGAGGCGGTGACGAAGTTTTCCATCTCAACACAATTCCATACACAGTAATGGAGCTTATCTTGGGCAAGGGAGTCCTAAACTTTGCAGTGATCCAAGCAAACTCAAAACTTCCTCTGCTTCCTCTTGACTTGGAGAGAAGAGTGGGGCAGACGGCTCTGGGGTCAAATCCACCCCTGACCCAAGGTGGCAGCACAGCAGTCAAGTTGGTTAAACCATACTTCTTTTTAATTTGTGGGGCGGAGGACCAATCTGTGTATATTTGGTGACTAATGGCTCCTTAACAAGCACCCTCAAAAGTAGGAGGGGGATTGGGCAGTGGGTGCATCCACCTGGAACATGGAACCAACACTCTTGCAGTTTCAGGGAGTCCCTGCCTATTTGAACACTTGGTTTCCACAGCCTTTGACAGGAAGAAGGATTTTCCTACTTAAGGACTTCTCTAAACCTGGAGTCCTTGGCCCAAATAGTACCTTCTCTTGCAAGCCTCCCAATCCAGCCCCAGGTAACAACAGCCCCACCTCCATCCTGTGCCTTGTACCTCTACCCAGCACCAATAATTTTGGCCTCAAATAATTTTGTCTATATACTTGTTGCTTTCCTAGGAAGACAGAGATGGACCTTCTTCCTTTTCATTTGTCTACACTGTTCCCCTGAACATGCAGAAAGTAGCAGGCACTGGCTTGGTCGGTGCAACTAGGAGCTGCTGACACCTGTCCCTGGGTGGTGCCCCAGGTAGAAAGTTGGCTGCTGCATAGGTCACCAATAACCCATTAATCTCCTCCCAGATTAAAGCCATGAAATAAAACAACACCTTCATTCATTCTTTTGTTTGTGCGTCCTTCTCCCCGCCCCCCAAATCAGCCCCTGGTAACTGAGACATACTTCCTCAGAGCGACCTTTACCGGGAATAGAGAAGAAAAGTTCCATGGAAGGGCAAAAGAGAGACTCAAGAGGCATTAACTCCTGCTAAGACTGCGTTCTAACTGGAAACCGACCTACAGACTGGCTCTGGGTGGGCCATGAGGGTGCCATGCCCCACTGGGGTTGGCCGGCTCCTTCCTGCAGCCAATCCCAGGAGGCCTCTGGGGTTCAATTCACAGGGTAGGGTCCCCACCCTCCATTTTCCTGTTCCGAGTGCCAGGCGGGCTCTGCGGATTCTTAGAGCTCCACCGGCTTCCCTGGAGGTCTAGGGGTCCTGCAGGCCATGTAGGGGTGCTCTAATAGTTTCAGTCCCTGCCGTGCACCCCACCTCTACCTTGGGAGTAATGAGTGGCTTGAACAGATTCTTGCTAAGTTTTCGATCAAGACTGCCGGGTGTCCCGGGTGCCAGAGATTTCAGCAGGACTCTCCACTCTCTGCTTCCTGCTGCTCAAAGCCACACGTCAATACACCCAGAATGGCTGCATAAAATGTGCTTAGAAAACATGCTAGGGCTCTAAGCACCCTGGGAACATTCCTGGGATGCCCAGTCAACTTTCAGTGTTTCTGAGGACTCTGACCCTGTGGTCAGGCTACTACTCTTCCTCCCCAAATGCACTAGTCGCTCTAAATCCAGGCTAGTGGTGTAGGGGCAAGGGTCAGCAGCGCCAGCAAGTATCCCTAGTTGGAGACTTGTCTTTCACCTAAACCACTCTTTGGAATATGACAGGTCACTGCCCTATAAATAAACTTGGGAACTGGACCAATGTTTTCTTAAGAGCCCTCCAGCTCTTACTTTCCATACAGGTTTAGCTGACTTGCCCTGAGGACACTATCTGCTCTGCTTCCAGCCTAAGGCCACAGCCTCTTAGCTCAAGTCAGAGAAGGGGCTCAGGACCCCCAGAATGTTTCATATTTCTCCTTGGACTGAGGCCTACCACTACCCCAGCCAGGGGGCTGTGACCCTCCCCTCTGCATAGTCGAGTTACCTAACTGAGGCTTCTTGAGGGTACTTTTTTTATTGGCTCAAAATCTCATTCACCAGTCTCTAAATAATCTTATGTACAAAAAATAGACTTTCCCCCCTGCAGTGAAATCTCATCAATAAATACAAACGTGTAAAGGAGGGAGGGGAGGCATATAATATACCATACCAAAATTCACTTCAAAAGATATCATATAATTTACAGTCTGATTTTTTTCTTTTTCTTCTTTTTTTTCATTTTAAAAGAAGGGCGCTTCAGGTCGCAGCGGGAGAGTTCCCCAGGCGGACAATCTCTTTCCCAGTTCACAGCCTGGTCTCCCTCCCCTGGGGAGGGCAATGGCTCCCAAAAGTGCACGAGAGAAGGCAGAGTATCACCTTCCTGGATTAAGGCAGTGAAGCAGCCAGAAACCAGGACTTGATAGGGACTGGAGGAGAAGAAGGTCCACTGCGTCTTTGGAGAAGAAAGCAAACGGTGAAAGATCAAATACTGAGTTAAATCACATTGGTGGAGGATTGGTAAGAGACAGACCCACAGACTTGAGTGAGGGTAGGGTGGCTGGAGACAGGGGGTGTCTCGGGCTGCGTGCCTAGAGCTAGCATCCTCTTCTTCTTTGCATGAGACTTTGCATGAGACTTCGTCTTTGCATGAGTGAGGGTAGGGTGGCTGCAGGGAGGGGGACGTGCAGAGGCTGCAATGCTCGCCTGCGCGGGCAGCACCAGAGGGCTGGAGTTGGCGCGGCGCAGAGGATGGGGATGGAATGCAGCCTGTCACCCTCGTGGGCGCCCGGGGTTCATCGGGTGTTAGCGAGCCCGAGCCTGGAGGAGCAAGTTCGCACCAGGGCCGCCGCAGCGCGGTGCGTCCCTGACGGCCTCCGCCCCCTCCCTCTGTCCCAAGCACCCACCGCCCAGTGGCCGACAGGCCCCTTCATAGGAAGTCTGAAAAAGCTAGGGCGCCGGGGCGCAGACTGGCAGGGGAGGCAGGGGCCTGCAGCCCGGGACGCTCCTCCAGCGAGGCGGCGGGGCTCAGGCTGCCCGCCTGGGAGACCGGGGAGTAGAGGGAGCCCCAGTCTCCCGGGGAGCCGCCGTCCTGGCTGCCCAGCTCCTCGCAGGGCAGCGCGGGCGCCTCCAGCCCGTAGAGGCTGTGGTCTGCTATGCGCAGCGCCTGCGTCAGCGCCCAGATGTAGTTGTGCGCGAAGCGTAGCGTCTCGATCTTGGTCAGCTTGGCATCGTCCGGAAAGGTGGGCAGGACACCGCGAAGCGCGTCCAGCGCCGAGTTGAGGTTGTGCATTCGATTGCGCTCGCGGTCGTTGGCCTTCTTGCGCCGGCTGCGTCGCTGCTTGCTCAGAGCCAGCTCGCTCTTGGGCCGGCTGCGCCCGCCGCGCCTGGTCCGGAGCTTCCTCGAGGCCCCTCGGCAGCCGCCCCCTTCCTCCTCGGCGCCGTTGCCCCGCGAGCGAGCGGGGCTGGGCGGAGCGGACGCAACGCAGGCCCCTTCGTCGTCCGAGGCGCCCGGGAAGGACCGCTCCGTCTTGTAGGTCCCTTGGACAGTTGGCGCACCCGAGGGATGAGGCGCCATCCTGCGGCAGGGTAAAAGGTCGCAGTAAGCGTGGGTCGGCCGCCGGGGCGCAGTTCCCCATCCCGGGGCCAAGCGGAGGGTGGGGGGTGGGGGGTAGAGAAAGAGCCACCCCGCCCCCGTCCCGCCGGATCAGAGGACCCCTTTCCCCCTCCACCCGTTGCTCTGTCGCCTCCAGGTGTTACCTTGTTCGCGCGCGCAAAAGGGGAGAGGACGGGGGCAGCGAGATCAATGGTTAGGATGAGCCGGCCTTTCCGTCTGCAAGCGCAGCGCAGACGCAGGTGCCGCTGCCTGGACGTTTCCCCAGCCCTGGAGAAGCCAAACGCAAAGGGGGTCCCGGGCCACCGTGGCTGTCTTTGGCGCGGCTGCGAGACCATTCGGATTTTCCGAGCCGCCAGTCGTGTGCCCCTTGGCACGCTTTATCTGCTCGGCCGGGGCCCGGAGCGTGCCTGCCCCGTTGCTGCCCAAGCGGCCGGCCAATCAGCGCCGGGGCCAGGGGGCCGCGCCACGCGAGCCCGCTCCTCCCCCGCGGGGCACAGCTGGATCCCGGACAAAGGGCCGGGGTCGGGGGAGGGGAGCGCCGCTCTATTTGCTCTCTCCCCGCGGGCTCCGTCCCAGCAACTCTCGGTTCCTCAAAGAGCCTCGCCCAGGGAGAGGAGCCTCGTCTGGCTCGCGTCTGGCCGCCCCAGACCGTTTTGCTCCTACTCTCTTTCCTTGGCACCTGCCCAGAACCTCTTTTGATACCCCAAAGAGGGCTTTGGGGAGCCTATGGGCTTGGTCGATCTCCATATGTTACACATGGGGACATTAAGGCTCAGAGAAGGTGGCAGTTTGCCCCAAATCACTGGGCCAGAGATAAGACAAGGCGCAAGTTGCCTGGACTACCAGCTTCGAAGAGTGTCCACTAATTCCCCAGGTGACCCTGCTGTCCTGCTCTGCTGGTCAGGCCAGGAAACTCATGGGGTGATGTTTCCCTGACCCTCTCCTTTCTGGCAGGGGGCACCGGACAACCACACAGAAAGATTGTGCCTATGTCCCTGCCACTTAGAGTCCTTCGCTGGGGGTTAGGAGCCACCCTACCTCCTACCACCTTGTCCCATGATGATGCCCCTCACTCCTCAGAGGGAAGCGCTCAGAACATCTCCTCCCAATCTCCTAGCGGGAACCCAAGAAACTTCCATCGGGTCCCAGAGGCAGAGGGTGGCCATGGTGGGACCTCCCAGGGACATTCCACCACTAGCCATTGTGGACAGCCCCCTTGCATTTGAGCCAGGGCCTAAGGGGGAAGGGCCCAGGTGAGAATGGGCCAGGAGAAGGCCAGGAACTCGAAACAAGGCCTTGTCTTTTAAACACTCTTAGTGTGCTGGAACTGTGAGAAGCAGACCACTTCTTTCCTCCCTCTGTCCTCCTGTCCAATCACAGCTGGGCCAGTCAGAGCCTGGTGCTGGGCAAGGATCCGGTGAGCCCGGATCTGAGCCCGGGCAGGGACCCTGAAGGCCCCTGTTAGCGCAGTCTGAAAGTGAGACAGACCAAACGCATCATCCCTCCTTTCTTCCCCAACCTTCCCTTTTGTCCTCCCTCGGACACCTCGTGGTCTTCTGCTTCCGGTCACTCAGGGTGAGGGGGGTCGAGGCTTCTGCTTCTCTCTTGACTACAACGTGTCTGGGTGTCTGGTGGGGGAGCAAGGGGACAGCCAAGGGGGGGAAGACTGGGGCCTGGGTTCTGTCTCTGCAGGCTGCGAAGGCTTCCCTCTCTAGTAGATCCAGACACCCAGTGCCTGCTGGAAGCTGGCGGAGAGGGGCTGGACCCTGCTGGGAAACTGAGGGGATGGGGTGGAGGGTCGAGGTAAGTCTGCAGATCTGCCCTAGTGACTGCCTCTTCATACCTGCCCTGGCTGCTTAGAGGGTGCAGTGACCTCCTAGGCAGAGAGAGTTGGGATGTGCTAGGGAGCCAGGGAGAGAGGGCTCTAGGGCTGTATGGGGATGGGGGCGCTGTCCTCCCCATCTCAGCTGTTGTGCTGCTAAGCAGATGACCCTTCCCTTAATACCTTCCCACTGAAGCTAGGGGTCAGGCTCAGGAGCAGCAAAGGGTATGAGACTCTGGGATTCCACATTTTTTGCTACTGCTTCTCCTTCAGGTCACAAATTGCTCCAAATCTGTGTTCTAGTTCTAAGGATGAGACCCCGAGGCCCGTTTTGCAGATGGGTAAGTCAAGGCCCAGAAGGGGAAGAGACTCACCCAAGGTCACAAACAAGTTCTAGAAGAACCACATAGAACCCAGGTCCTAAGACTCCTTGTTCTAGATTCTCCCTTGTACCTGCTATCTCTTCCTGATAGGAGGGAAAATACATATATTTTTCAAGGCAAAACTAGACACCTCAAAGTGTAGAAAATAGAAGTTCTGTATCTGTGGGGAAGGCAGCATCAGAGTAGAAAAGGGGTAGAGGCCCCATCTCCCATGCCAAGGGGAGCCATTGTCCATGCATGCTCCATCTGTCTACTTTCCTGCTCCATACTCCAGCCTTGCTTGATTTCTATCATCCTGCAGGTTATGAACTGACAGGAAACCCAAAGCATGCTTCCCCAGGGCTTCGGGATCCAGCAGCCCCCCTCCAGTGTGCAAGTCCTGGTCATAAGGGATCAAAACACCCCGATCAACCCCAGGAAGCTTGAAGAGCAGCTGGAAACCAGGATTCTCATCCAGCAGTGGCCCTCAGATAAAAGGCATAAAAGGCAAAGGCGGCTTTGCTTGGCTCGGTTTTGCCTGAAGCAACTAATGGGTACTGGCAAGAGCCACACGGTGAACTTCCTGCCCCAGAGAAGATTCTGGGCATTCTTGGGAGCTTTCTTAATTGGGAGGCAATCTGGGACCCACTTGGAATTCTTATCCAGCTTCCCCAGAGCACCTCCAGCCCAGGGCTCTCCAGGTCTTGCAGGCAGCCACCACAACTGCTTTGCGCAAAAAATAGGGCGAGGAGCGCACAGCGGCCAGGAGCACCGGGCTCCTTGAGGGACGGAACAACTCTCCGCAGCCCTATTTCTGGCCAGGAGGGCAGGGCTGGAGGTCACAGAGTCCTGGGGGATTAGAGACCAAGGACCCACGTCCCCCCCTCTGCTGTAGGGGACGCACAGACCTCTCTCCAAAGTCAATACCTGTGCTTTTGGTGGCGGAGGCGCAAGCAGTGACAACTCAGTGCGCGCCGGCGGTGTTTGTGAAACGGCCCTTCCAGCGGGGAGCAGAGCCGGTCCCTGAAGCCCCGGGCCCGCCACCGCCTCTAAGGCCTCGGAGTCGCGCGCGCCTCTACCCTCTGAGACCTGGGCAGGCCTGGAGGCCGAGGCGGCCCAGGAGACAGGCGACAGCCTGACGCCTGGAGACCACGGGCAGAGTGGAAAAGAAGGAAGGCAGCGGTCCTCCCTACCGCCTTCCTGTCGCCCGGGGGGGGACACTCAGCAGTGCCTGGGGGCTCTTTGAGAAACAAGCGAGAGCGAGGGGGGCCATAGGAAGCTGAATAGCTAATGGCTTGCCAGAGGAGGGGGCTTCTTTCTCTCGCCTTCGCCTGGGCCCTGAAAGAGGGGAAGACAAAAATCTGGCGAGCGAGCTGCCTGGGCCGAGACTGGCCACTTCAAACAGCCCTTCAAACAAAAGGAGACGATGAAAAGAAAGCCCCACCTGTCTCCAGTGTTTGCTAAAATAATAATAAATAGATTTCGTTTAATAAATAATTACAAGAGATTGTAAAGTGGAGTGCTTTGGAAAACATCTACCGCGGGAGTCCCGCAGCCAGCCGTCACCTGCTCCCAAGGAGGACAACTTTATTGTTAAGCCACCCCCCAACTAGTTTGCCTCTGATAAACTCTCCCTCGTTTTCACAATGACTGTTTACTCATAGTTAGCACAATATTACCTTTGCCGTGATAAACCCAGAGGGGGGAGACCTGGCCCCTGGCCCCTGGGCACACCTGTCCCAGAAGCTGACACATGGATTTGGCACCGGGCAGGCCTCCCCCCGGGGGCCCTGCCTCCGTGTACATTGGCCCAATTGCCACCCATTTATAACAGGTTGGCTGCAAGGCCTATCTCGGTCCTATTTGTCTTCTTTTATTGAAAGCATATGGTCTCCAGGGGCTCACCAGCCCCATATTTCATCTGCCAGGAGCTGGGGCGCTTCCGCAGGCTGGTGCTGCCCGGCGCGCTGCTCCCCACTCAACGGCTGCCGCGCCAGCTGAGGGGATGGTGGAGGTGGGGTGGGGAGAGATAAGGCGGGCTCCTCGTTCGCGTTGGGAGAGAAGCCATGCCCTCAGAGACTCCTCCTCCCCGGGCGCAGAGACCTCGTGCGCTCTTGAATGGGTGGCTGGTTCTTTTTCTTGGGTAGGTGAGAGGGCGCCATATGCCACCCCCCAGGGCGTAGGAGGGAGCTCCAGCCCAGGGAGCCCGCGAACAAAAGGAAGAGAGGGCCCGGGACCTCGGGAGCGCTCTGGGTCTTTATTCCCAGATCCCCCTCCCTGCCCAGGGCCGCCTCCCCCCCGATGTCCGTAGCTCGCGCGCAGCGCCTGGAAACAAAGTGTCCACATTATCCCAGCCGCCAGCGGAGACAGTGAATGCGTGAAAAGGTGCATTGCGCACCAAGACACCTGTTGGAGCGGCGCCTCTTCTCAGCGCCTCTCTGCTCTGCCCTGGGTCAGCAGGGAGTGGGGGGTGGGAGGAGGGACAGATACTGTGATTTGTGGCGACATATGTTGAGCAGATTGGTGTGTACTCTTCACAGGGACACACGCACCCTCGCTCCCATACACACCCCGAGAGAAGGAGCAGCTGCTCCCCTCACCTTCTCCCGACATAATACCTGGGCCAGGCGCTTTGGCGTCGCCTTTTGAGACTCCAGCTCTCCCCCACCCCCTCTGCCTTCCGCCCCCACCTGCCGCCCCAGTCTTGGCAGCTTCGCTGTAGGACGTTATTGTCAAATTTAACAGATGCACGTTTGTTCCCAGCGCCCGGTCTCAAA